AACCAGGATCTGCCGCGTGGCAAGACCACGTCGACCAGGGAACGGGCCACGTGGGCGATCCGCGTGCGCTCGATCGGACGGCTCAGATACGTCTCCGCGCGCACGGACGGCCCAAATCAAGAGTGCGCACGGACGGCCCAGATGCACGCGTACGGACGGCCCAGATTCAATCAAAAACGGACGGCTCAGATTTAATCAAAATGGACGGCTGAGATCAAAAGGCAAAAGGGTATAAATAGAACCCTCACACCTGACCACAAAAACCCTAGTCGCCTGGCCTCGCCGGAGAAGACGAACCAGACGCCGGAGGAGCCGGCCGCCGCCATCCGCTGCCGTACCGGGGAGTTTTTCGACCGCTGATCGAGGTAAATTTCATACCCCCGACTCGTTTTTCCACGCTGAGTTCCCCTGTGGCCAAATCAGAGCCAAAATTCCGGCCAAACGGCTGGAAAATACGGCCGAAACCCAGCGGCGCTGCCGCGTCCCTCCTTGGTTTTTGCCTTCGATGAGGCCCTTCCCGGCCTCCGTTTGATGCAATATTTATATCACCGTGATCACCATTCTTTTCTCTACAGGTTGATCGGAGCCGAATCACCAAAACACAAACCTCGCCGGAGAGCCACCGCACCCGAGAGCACCGCTGCCGGTAAGCTTCGGTTTTTCGTAATTTTTTGGCCCCCCGATGGCCCTAGGGTTGTTTTATCACAGGGACCGATGCAAGTGTGGCCGAATTCGGCCGAAAATGGCCAACTCGAGGCGAATCGCCGCTGCAAGCGGCGGCGCCGTCGCCGGAGCATGGCGGAGCCGCCGTGCCGGAATTGCGATATTGGCCGAAAGGGGCCCTATGTCTAATTTGGGATTTTTTTTGGAACACGTGCAGGTACCAGTAGTGCGTTTCAGTTCCCCGGAAAAATTTTAGAAAAAATTAGGGACAGCCTGTAGGCGCACTGTGAAGCCGTGTTCGAACCCCGAAACGAGTAAGAACCCCTCACCCTATTTCCTATCACGGTATTAAAGTTCAATAATGATAAACCGGTATTTCTTGAATCAACGAATGTGTAAAATTGCTTAAGGTCGCTAATGGAGCCCGAGTCTAGTGTGTTTGTCGGTTAACTGTTATTTGGCCTATTTTACAGTTTTAAATGCAGTATGAGGTCTGATGTTTTCATTTCATAGTTTCGTGTGCATATTTTACTGTTTTATTGATTATGGGTTGAATGACTGAGAAACCGATGTTGTATGTTATCTTGTTTGATATAAATTACTGTTTTGCTTGTTTGTGTGAATTGATGATGCTGACTGAGGAAAATGGGAATGAAAGGTTATGTAAATTGATAATTGTACAATGTGATTAGCCTGACTAGATATCTTGGGAGATGGTGGATGGACCAGGTCCGTAGGGAACTCTACCGGGATTGTGGTCTCTCATACCGGACGGGGTATGGAGACCCTATGTGTTTTGGCGCCCATACCGGACGGGGTATTGAGACGGCCCGTTTCACCCTCATACCGGACAGTGTATTGAGGTTTATAGTTTTGGCGCCCATACCGGACGGGGTATGGGGACGGCCCTGGAATCTGATTACAAGTGTTAAGGGTTCACGGGTAGCGGGACCCCTATGGATCCCCATGGATACTAGTAGGCTGGTAAAAGAGGAAAAATATGTTGTGTAATGATTGAATTACAAAAGGCGTGATAAGTATTATGTTATACAGTTTATATGATTTCATGATGATGATAATGTTATTGCTTTCTTATATTGTTTTATGAATTTCACCGAGATAAGTGGATGGTAAAGGTTTTATTATTGATAAAAGGATTTGTTGTAAATTATGTTCCATTTGTCTTTTTGTGTTTTCTACCCACCTTTACCTTCGTGACGGTGAGATATCGTGATGTTTTTACTGGGTTAGTGTAGCTCATTCCTTATTTAATCATTTCAGATCAGGAAGACATTGTTCCCGAGCCCGTTCCGCAGGAAGACGACGAATGAGACGCCTAAAGACTCCATAGTCATATTCATAGCTTTTACTTTCGAGTTTCTCTTTTAGTTAGTTTGATCTTTTATATTTTGAGCACGTTTTTGGTTTTAGTGTAAGGGATATTAATCGAAATTTTGACTTCGCTTCCGTATTTGATATTTTTAATACACATATTTCATTTTAAATTTCCGGGACCGTTACATTAAAATTTAGATAATAATTAACAATTTATCATTATTAAAACTTATGTTTTTCTCCTCAATTCTATGATATTTTGTTCATTCATTTTGCCAAATCCGCCAAATTATTCTCTTGGTATTTTGCCACCAATATAAGCAGGGCGCTTCAAAGTCACCCAAGTTCATATTTATTTGTCTATATATATATATATATATATATATATATTTTTTTTTTTTTATAAAATGATATTTATCTATGCCAAAATTAGCAAAATTTGAGAATTTAAGATGTTGTACTTTTGACCAGTGGCAGCCAAAGGAGCAAAGCAAAGAAGAAAAAGAACCCCTGCAATTCTACAATCAACCGAGAAGCACGGGGATTGAATATCCGACCAAACCCCCAAACGCGTTTTCTCTGCTCAGTCTTAACGCACACAACAAATATGTCTCTCTCTTTACTCAAACTTCTTTGCACTATATTACAAGTTTATGCATATATATTATTATTATTATATATATGCAATAAAGTAATGCATGAGTAGTGGGTATAAACAAAGCCGAGCTTTGCCGTCTCTCCATTTCAACCAAAACCCAAAATCCCAGACCCGGTAAGCTCAACTACCCACTGATGCTTTTTCTCTAGATCTCACTTCCTTTTTCCTCTTCCTTTGTATGTTGTCAGCTTGGTTTCTTTCCCTTTTGTCATTCTCTTTAGGGGTGTTGAATGAATTATTCAATATTGGTGCGCTTTGATTTTTGGTGTTGGTTTTCTGTTTCTATTTTTTGGTTTGAGAGACTTGGTTCTTGCTCTTGGTTCTTGACTGATTGATTTTGTTTGGCTGCTCACTGGCTTAGGATCCGAGATCAAAACCCTGTCCAACTATGTGTTGATCTTGTATGAACGACTGATTTAATAATTGGCTGAGAGTTGTGTTTGACTTTTTTGGAGTTTGGTTTGTGTTAAATTCTCTGCTCCAATCAATTTATTAGTTAATACTCATCTTCTGTATCATACGATCCGGTAAGTGCCGTAGTTGGCTACTTCAAAATCTGGTGATTCTTATTTCTGTCCTATTCATTGCCTATGGTCTTCAGCTTTTGG